TCACCTTTCCGAAAACTACCGCTACATGGTAAGCAGTGGTGGTTATACGTCTATTTCAAGCATCTTCGATAGAACGTTCATTTAGACATAATGAGATAAACTTATATAGATATATGTGGGCGGCATCACGCCCATTTTCCAAATTCCATAATAATGTTACTTCTTTTCAATGAATTGTTGTTAGTATCAATTTTGGATAAAATTAGCGTTATAAAAAGGTGGTCGTAATTTTAGTCAGATTTCAATAACTTTCAACGTTTTGCCTTTATGGGGCAACCACAATAATCATACTGAGTTTGGTACACATTGATCGAACGGTTACCGAGATACACATATGTGGTCATAAGTGGGCGGGGTCACGCCCATTTTCCAACATTTTATTATAAGCGTACCTTTTGCTATAGGATTATTGCAAACATCAGTTTTGAATAAATTAGCTTCAGTATTTACTGATTATCGAAGCTTTCGTATTTCTCTAAATTACCGTTATGTGGGATATGGGCGTAGTTATTATCCGATTTTTTAAATTTTCAGCCGTTTGGTATGTTTTGTGAAGGCCAACAACTGTGCCAAGTTTGGGAGAAATTGGTGGAGCGGTTCCCACGTAATCATATGTGGGCGTGCCTACGCCCATTTTCAAAATATTTATAATATTCTTATTTTTCGCCTAAAAATGATTGTACATATCAATTTTGAGTGAGTAAGCTTCAGTAGTTACTAAAATATCTCAGTTTTCGTATTTCTGAAAACTACCGTTATATGGGAGGTAGCCATGGTTATCGTCCGATTTAGCCCATTTTCAACACCATCCGTCCTACGCTCAAAAGAAGTGCACATACAAAGTTTCGTTAAGATATATCAATTTGTACTCGAGTTATCGTGTGCACAGACGGACGGATAGACAGTCACCGCTTAATCGATTTCTCTTTTCATTCTGATAACACTATGCGACAGTCAAAATCGGGATGGGATGAAACCAACGGGAAATGTTATATCGGTCAAAAACAAGTTATACGTGTCCCGGCGTTTCGCTGGGTCACGTCTAGGAATCGAGATATATATATAACTATCATATAGGGGAAATTGTCACCTTTGGTGGTCTTTTTTGACAGAACTCGAGAACCACTAGTCCGATTTTGCTCAAACAAATTTAAAAAAATTAAAAATTACAATTCCCTTATATAGAAAAACGTTATATGAACAGATTAAAGGAATTGTAATTTTTATTTTTTTTAAATTTGTTTGAGCAAAATCGGACTAGTGGTTCTCGAATTATGTTAAATTAAAAGGTAGGAAATAATTAGAGGTAAGTATTAAGGAGATATTAAAAAAGGTAAATAGTACATTTTAAGTTCAAATTGTTCGTAAATTAACTAAATATTAAGTAAGTAAGTTAACTAACTATCCTTTCAGGTTTGTGTTAATTCACGAAGTTATATACTTGTATACGTGTACATGCAAATATATTGCAGATGTATATAAAAAAAACTCATTATAAATGCCATCGGGCCATAAAATTGGTTTCTGCGGACACGGTTGTGACTATGGAAACTACTGCGGGTTGTGGGAGTAGACAAAATTGATGACGGCTGCAAGTATGCAGGTACGGTTGCACGTTTAGTGGATGGTTGGGTAACAGCTGGCACTTTGTACCGTGCACTTGTCGGTCCACTTCACGGCAATATACGGATTTCAGTATAGAAAGGCGATGTTTATTTTAATCTGAAAGGAGAACCTATTTGAACACTTGCTACTACTTTGCCTACTATGTTTGACTTAAAAATGAAAGGATTGATTTCTTACCAAATGTAATCAAAAATGGCCGAAAAACTGAAGTCCGTGGAACTATTCCATAAAATAAATATTCTCCACGTCCGGAGAATTTTCACTGCACTTTAATAAAACGTTTAAACGAACTAGCTTTCGAATAGATATAAAGCTACACTTATTTTCTTCTTTTTTTCACTCCATCCACATGGCTCGGCGGTTTTCAGGAAAAGAAAGAACATTCAGCCCGGATATTAGTCCGAAGGCCCATCTGGTCATCCTATTTATCGATAAATATCATCATATCATATGGTGAGAATGACGGCTTGAAGGAAGTTTGTTTTTGAGCTGCGTTTAGCAGACACTACAGGGTGCCGCTAAGTATATTTATGTAGAAAGAAAACTATGTCAAGTATCCATGGTACATACACCCCCCACCTAGAATGTTGGTGCGGTGTACTTCTACTAGCTGCTATTTTGGATGTCTTTCATGTGGTATATCTCCCTTTTTCCCGTATTGTATCCTCGAGCTCATACATACAGTTTCCCTTTGGGGATATGACTTTGGCCTTGATAAATTTTGGTGCGAATTTCGAGCAAAAGTTCTTCGTAGCATCGCTTAGTATGAAGTTTCGTCTGAACACGATGTCACCGGCCTGGAAACGCCTATTGGTGCTGCGTAGATTGTATCTCTTTGACGACTTCTGGAAAGCTTTGGTGATGCTTTCCGTAACCGACTGGCGTATTAATTTAAGACGGTCGACACTCTCAATTACGTTGTCATCCAATGATGAAAGCAATTCATACTCGTTCGCGTGGGTCACCATCTGCTGACCAAACAGGGCAAAGTAGGGCGAATATTATATTGTTTGGTTATGTGCGCTTCTTAGGGCCTCAGCAATGTCCGAAATATTCTTATCCCAGTGCGATTTATCGTTCTTGAGGTAAGCCCTAGTTCCTGCTATTATGGACCTATTCACATGTTCGCTTGCATTGGTTTGCGGACTATATACAGCGGTGTATACGTGTTTAATTCTCCGTGCCGACAACAACGTGTTAAACTGCGAGGCTTTGAACTGTTTTCCATTATCACTCATAACTATTTCGGGAGTTCCGAAAATATTAAAAACGTTCTCATTAGAGTGGTTCATAAAAACACTCTTTTTGGAAATTCATATACGCTACATCAGAATATTGTTATTTGTGATAAAAAAAGTGGCACGTGTTTTTTTATTTTGAAAAAAAAAGTTTTCTTAAAGGTCGCGCTGGTCGGTTTTTTATAAAAACGCTGATGTTCAATATGGCGACCAAATTAAAAAAAGTACTAAAATTAAAACTTTGATACTGAACGTTTTACAATCACACGTCGCCATTATGGATCCACCATTTTGAATTTTGAAAATCTGACATCAGATTCGTAATCAGCAACCCCAGAAACCCACTGGAAACATGTTTTAACCCTTGGCAATGTTTAAAACGTTCAGTATCAACGTTTTAATTTTAGTACTTTTTTTTAATTTGATCGCCATATTGGATCCGCCATTTTGAATTTAAAAAAATTGACTTCAGTTTCGTAATCGGCGACCACAAAAACTCTCGAGTGTCGTGTTTCGAACAAATCCAATCATTAAAAAAAAATGGAAAAATGGCCATTTTGGATCCGCCATTTTGAGTTTCCAAAAACTGACTTCAGATCCCTAATTAGCAACCCCAGAAACCCCCTGGTAACAAGTTCTAACCCATGACAATGCGTAAATCGTTCAGTATCAACGTTTTAATTTTACTAGTCTCTTTTCGAGAGCATAATTTCGGGCACTAAGCCCATTCTAACTGCCCAAGATAGGTATGTAATTAAGGGAATGTTCTCCAATAATACCAGAGTAATTATGTGCAAAAAACAAATTCTTAGCTGCATTTTAACATGTTAAGAAAATAAAAAAATTTGGAACATCAGCGTTTTTATAAAAAACCGACCAGCGCGATCTCTAAGAAAACTTTTTTTCAAAATAAAAAAAAACGATTTCTTTTTTTTCCAAAAAAAAAATTTTTGAACCACCCTAGTTCTCATGTAAAAATTCACATATAGCTGATGTATTAATCTTTTTGACAGTTTTCAATAGGGGAAACTTTGTGAAATGATCAAGGACTATGAAGATTCCTATGTTGCCTTGTTTGGAGCTTGGGTAAGGTCCAAGGAAGTCAACATATAACTTCTGGAATGGTCGTTGTACCGTGTACTGTGCGGGCATTGGTGGTCTTAGCGTCACATTTGGGGCCTTGCGTTGTCGACATGTTTCGCATTGGCTGACACAGTTTTTCACGTCAACTGCCATATTTGGCCAATACATCGAAATCGCTCCAGTGTTTTAGCAATGCCACCGTGGCATTTATTTGGCGGGCAATGCGCCAATGCGATTTGGGAATCCAAAGCTTCCAGTTAAACGATTCCCTTTCCGGGTTGCCATCTGGATGTTCCGTCCTTTTATAGACGTGGTTGTCGATTGTCTCGGACGTGAATTATCAATTTTTGATAATCTTCGGGCATAAACTCGGACGACTGTAGATTTACTAACGGATGGACTTCAATATTGCGTACTTCAGCTATTTCATCAAAATTCTGTCTAGATAAGCAGTCAGGTACCACATTAAGTGATCCTTTTCGATGTTCAATCTTAAATCTAAATCCTTGCAGTTTGAGGGACCAACGAGGTAGTCGGATGGATAAATCAGTTTGTCGCATAAGCCATTGCAAACTTGCGTGGTCGGTAACTATAGTGAAGTCTTGCCCCTCCACGTAGGCTCTGAATTTCTTCAGACTAAGTATTGCGGCAGACATTCAAGTTCTGTGGCACTATTACCTTGTTTATACCTACGCAAGAACGCATTAACAAAAAACCAATTTGACTCAACACATATTTCTTTCGAGCGTTTATACCTGTGTCTTTACAGCGCACTCGCTAAAACCGTATTCAAAAGTATACAAAATTTCTTGTTTTATTTCGATATTTCTTTAATAATTGATTTGCGCGATTAACCGAAATAGAGCGAACAATAATTCAAATTTATCTTAATAATAATTCAAATTTAAAACGGGCCACTATTTTCACTTCGCGTCAAATTCGTGATG